TTGAGGTGGGGAGGAGCGAAAAGTTAAGTGGCCATCTTAGAACATGGCCAGACCCTACCTCCCAAGTGTATATTCTATTTGTTTATTTTATGTTTTATTTTACTTGTTTTTAATATTTTTTATAATAAATTTAGTAGCACTTTAAGTCATCTGGTGTCTGAAGAATCTTCATTGGGGTGGTGACACCCGCTTTATATTGGCACTATATCTGTTACCTTAAGAGCCAGGATTTTTAGGCTCTGTAAAAGGAGCGAATATAAGAGTGGAGGAGTGGTAAGATGCTGCCCCTGGACATTTCCACTTAGGTGTGTACTCACTTTTGTTGTGGTTTAGACATTAATGGCTGTGTGTTGAGTTATTTTGAGGGAACAGCTGTTATACAGGCTGTACACTTACTACTTTACATTGTAGCAGAGTATAATTTCTTCAGTGTTGTCACATGAAAAGATATAATAAAATAGTTACAAAAATGTGAAGAGTGTACTCACTTTTGTGAGATACTGTATATACTTGAGGTGGATATTCTGGCTCCATTTCTCTCACCATTGTCTCAGATGTAGAGTTGGAGAAACAAATACCAGCCTTTGCATAACCGGTATTTTTATAATGAACCAGAGAGCAACAAATACCATCTATGTCAGTACAAAACTGGCCAGATGGCAACCCTAAAATCAACATACACTGCTGTTAGATGACCTTTTCCATTTTATGGTATGGCTTATTTCTGGGCTGTCTGGATTAATGGACCACTATAGTGCCAGCATCCACCCTCAGGGTCCCCCTCCCGCCGGGCTCTAGGGGGTGGAAGGGGTTAAACTTACCTCTTTCTCCAGCGCCGGGCGGGGGACTCTCCTCCTCTTCGGCTGAATGCGCGCATTCAGCCAGTCCATAGGAAAATATTTCTGAATGCTTTCCTATGGGTGCTGGCGTCTTCTCACTGTGAAAATCACAGTAAGAAGCGCGGAAGCGCCTCTAGCGGCTGTCAATGAGACAGTCACTAGAGGCTGGATTAACCCTAAAGTAAACATAGCAGTTTCTCTGAAACTGCTATGTTTATAGAAGAAAGGGTTAAGCCTAGATGAACCTGGCACCCAGACCACTTCATTAAGTTGAAGTGGCCTGGGTGCCAATAGTGGCCCTTTAACAGTCTTATACAAAATTATTGAGTTCTTCAAAGGAGCTTGAAAATTTTTTTAGTTTCATAAAGGGTGATGGTTTTTGTAGGATATATGATATGGATGGTATACTGATAGGGAAGCATCATATTGTTTGCTGCTTTCTCAGATTTAGCCAAGTCTCCTAAACGTAATTATGAAAGCATTCTGGATATCAGTATACTTTGGTATATTGTGGACTGATAGCCCCCAAAAAAATTAAAATGTTATCCTCAAAATTTTGTGCCCAAATCCATAATATTGTTTTGCCTATTTGTTAATGTATTGAATGTCAGGGCTTTTAATTGTAATACTATATATATTTCTTATGCTTGGTGGAGTTTGTTTTGATATTTCCTAAAGGAACATTATAGTATTAGGAATAACAAGCTGTATTCCTGGCACTATAGTGTCCCTCTGCACCTGCACCTCTACCTCATGGCTATCAAAGGGTTAAAAAAACATTTAAACACTAATATTATACCAGCGCTTTACTCTGCGCTTGCTCCTTTTCTGCCTCCTCCAACGTCATTGCGTGAGCTGATTTAGTCCAGGATTCCCCTGGACTGACAAGGAAGGGGAGGCTAGAATGCTGCCCATAGTAGTGGAGGGTTAAAAATGGGAATACAATGTTGCAAAAAGGGGACAAAATAAAAGGGGCTAAGGTAGGAGAGTACCTACCACTTGAAAGAAGGAGCCTAAGGTTTAGAAAGCTTTCCTGGCCTCCCTCTCTTTGATTTTTTTTTTTTTTTATTTAAAAGGTTTTTATTGGTTTTTCAAGAGTAAACATCATCAAAGTACGGGGGTCCAGAAGTAAAGAAGGGGAAAGGGGGGATGTTTGCATTTACATTTGCATCAAGGGAGACAACTGACATTGCAGTAGATAGATACATTTCTGGATAGAAACACTTTTTTTTTTTAAATGCATATTATAAATACATATTAATAGATAATACATTTTTGCAAGAATTATACAATTGGTATTGTAGTACTGGCATCAGCTACTAGAGCTAAAACTAAGACTGAGACTCAAACTGGTACTGAGATTGGGCGATACCTTTTATCTTAACTATTCTTGAGTTCTGGGACGGTAACCCTGAGCAGTGTCCTGGTTGCTGTGTAGTTAGAGTTGCATTGTCTTCTCCAACCCTCATGTAACGTGGATATGTCTTGTAGTTAAGTCTTATGCCAAGGGTGGCCCCCCATGGTTATATATGTGGACTAGTGTGTGTATGTGTAGCGGGCGGCCGGG